GGGCAGGGCGGCGAGCCCCGGCGGGTGCTCGGCTCTCCCCCCCCCCCGGCGGCCAGAGCGCCGGGGGCAGGGCGGCGAGAGGGCGGCGAGCCCCGGCTGGGGCTCGGCTCTCCCCCCGGCAGCCAGAGCGCCGCGCCGCCCCCCTCCAGGTGCCGCCCCAAGCACCAGCTTGGGTGCTTGGTGCCTGGAGCCGGCCCTGTCTCCTTGTAGGTAGAGGCGGGTCTTCTGATCTAGTTGGTCATAGAGAATGGAAGCAGAAGCTGGATGGGATCTGACAAGGTCCAGAAATGGAAGAGATTGGGTTGAGGTCACAGGCCAAAGACAGAAGTGGGAGAGGTGAGGCCAGAAGGGGAGGAGCCGAAAGAAGAGGAATCATAGGCCAGAAGGGGCTAGGTTTAGCTAGGCACTGACATCAATTGGGAATGATGTCACCAGACGGGGTGGTGCCCCTTAGATACATGATATCTGTTCCATCTCCTATCTGTGCATCAATCCTGAGGAGACGTTTACTGTGGTCAGTATACACTAGGGTACTGCCAAGATCCATTCTTTTTTATTCGCTGTTTGTTTATTTAGATCTATAAAAGCCTCACTATCTGCCCTTCCATCAGTTAGAAATACGTGACACAAAGGGCTGCTCCTCCCACGTTGACAGATATCTGCTTACCAGCAAACATAATGGGGGTAATAAAATTAAGCCAGAGGATAAACCTCTGCCCGCCTTGTCCCCAAAAGACCGGTGACACGGTGGGCTTGGCAGCATGGCCCAAAGGTTAAAATACCTGGGCTTTGGCAGTGTGTCCCAAAGCCAAATCCCACACATAGAGCATGCCCGACAGGGCGCTCCCCAGCCGTTTGCGCACTGATGTTGCTAGCCTCTGCAATGGATGTGCTGAGAGGGACAGAGAAAGGGAGTTTAAGTGATACACTGAGTGAATGCTTTCGTTTGGTGCATGGTTTCAGATCTAAGTCACCATGAGGGAATGAAGCTTTGATCTGCCAGCTAATGTTGATGGGCATCGATCTTAAGAGTCAATGAATCATTCTAAGAACCGTGTGGGATGTTTGCTGAAAATCTCCATTTTATCCAGCAGCAAAATGGCAATTTGCTGCTGGATAAAACCGGTCTTAAAGTACGAGGCTGTTTCTCCTGTGTCGTCATTCGTCAGCCCGGCCCTGAGCTCACCATGAGCTCTGTGTGAGTGGATCTCTGCCCACTGTGGGATTCCCTAGCCCAAGCATGGAGCAGCCGAGTGGGTGTTGGTGTGGCTCAGGGAGCTGTTAATGGGGTATGAGGGCATTTATTCATTCACCTTTCATTCAGAAAGATCTCAAAGGGCATCCCAAAACTACACTCAAGGCACGACAGTGATGTACTAAAGGAGGTTACCTGCATACAGCAGGAGGCAAATTGTGGCCAAAGATACTAGAGCAAACAGTTTCTCATATGAAAAGTATGGCAGTTCTCAAATGGCCATGCACAGAAGACAGGATCTTGGTATTTAAAATGTTCTGTAAAAGAATCCTCCCACCCCACCCCACCCCACCCCACCTCCCAACACCCACACCCACACACACACACTTCAGTTTGGACTTTCATCTTTCTGGGATTCAGTCCTGCAG